TCCTTCTGTTGTGAGTCCCCAGGTTAAGAGGGGAGCTTGGTCAGTGGCCGGGCAACATGGAACCAAGCTGAGGATCAAGAAAACGGTTGGAGAGGCAAAAACAACGAGAAACCAGAAGACTACCGTGGAAACTTCTAACCCATTCTCCGTGCTACCTGACGAATGTGAGCGTTCTACTGGGAATGCCACAACGAGCACCAATGAAGCATTAGCAGACGTGAGTGACACATCCCTAGAAACCCCAACGAAGACCATCGAGAACGTCTTGACGAATTCCACAAGTGGTGTAATGCTTCCTGACGAATGTGAGTCGACTACTGGGAGCATCACGAAGGACGACGCCAAGGAAGGTAAAAACATTGTTGTTGTTGGGGATATCCAGATTAGGTACATGGATAGGGCATTCTACTTGAAGGATAGGAGTAGGAGGCAGAGAGTGTGTTTTCCTGGGGCTGGGATGAAGGATATTGTTAGCCGTCTGGATGACATCATGAGAGATAATGGGAGCAATCATATTATCTGTCTCAGTGCTGGAGGCAACGATGTTGGCAGACGTAGGAGTGAGGACCTGATTAGCAGGTATAGGACAGCTATAGAGATAATTAGGAGGAAGGGTGGGAAACCTGTCATATGTGGCATTTTGTCAAGGAGATGAGTTGGAAATGAATGGTTGTCCAGAGCAATTGGTGTCAATTGCTGGCTGGACAAATACTGTAAGGAAAATGCGGTAACATTCATTGACAACTGGGACCTCTTCTATGGCAGAAATGGTATGTATGCCAGGGATGGGGTTCACTTATCTAGGTGTGGGGTGGGAGCACTGGCCAACGCAGTGGAGGGAGCTGTTAGGTCTTTAAACTAGGAATAGTTAGTGGTATGGGTTTTGGCGGGAAAACTGTGAAGTCGCAGGTTAGTAATATGAGTACTAGGAGAATTAGTAATAGGCAAAATGAGGTGGATATTGGAAAGCCAGTGGCACTAATTGACAAGGACAGTAATAGGTTTAGTGGAATAACAGAAAGTAGCAGAAAGGGTAAAGAGAGAGGAGGGTCTCTAAATATTTATTACACAAATAGTCGCAGTGCTAGGAATAAGATGGACGAGTTGAGACTAGTTGCTAGTACAGGTAACATTGATGTATTTGCCATAACTGAGACATGGTTTAATTCAAAAAGTCGGGACATGCCTGCAGAATGTCACATTCAGGGTTTTAAATTATTCCAAGTAGACAGAAGTGTCGGGAAGGGGGGTGGGGTGGCATTGAATGTCCGAGATCGATTGAACTGTTGCATAAAAACGGGTATTAAGTCTGAAGTAACACATACAGAGTCTGTTTGGATAGAATTTTCAGAGGGGAATGAAAAATTAATTTTAGGTGTGATATACCGTCCCCCAAATTTAGATAGGGACCAGGGGAGACTACTATGGGAGGAAATTGTTAGGGCCACAAGGCACGTTAATGTAGTAATTATAGGAGACTTTAACTTTAGTCATATTGATTGGAATTTCTTGACTGGAAATTTAGAATCATACGACTTCTTAGAAGTAGTTCAGGATTGTTTTTTGAAGCAGTTTGTGACAGAACCTACAAGGGGTAATAACCTGCTTGACTTAGTTCTGGCAAACAATGAATCCCCTGTTAATAATTAAGAAGTATCAGAGGAACTGGGTGCTAGCGACCACAAATCAATTACATTTAGCATTGAATGGAAGTATGATAGTAGGGATAACTCAGTAACGGTCCCAGATTTTCGCTTAGCAGATTACGATGGGCTTAGAGAACACTTATCATCTGTTGACTGGGGTAACGAAGAGAGCTATCTATATGACAGCTTTCTGAACACCATACATGCTGCTCAAAGAAAGTTTCTCCCATATAAAGAAATTAGATCAAATAGAAATGACCCAAAATGGATGAATAATAGGCTCAAATATCTACTAGGGCATAAGAAAGGAATTTATAGGCGTATCAAAAGAGGTGAGGGTCATCTTATGAATCAGTATATTGATATTAAGAGGGACATTAAAAAGGGGATAAGAAAAGCTAAAAGGGACTATGAAATTAAAGTTGCTAGGGATTCTAAAACTAACCCAAAAAGTTTTTTCCAGGTCTATAGAACAAAAGTCAGAGATAAGATAGGTCCCCTTAAAAATAACTATGGGCATCTTACTGACAAAGAGAATGAAATGTGCTCGATTTTAAATAATTATTTTCTCTCGGTTTTTACACAGGAAGACACTAATATTATTCCAGTAATTAATTTTTATAGTGGGCCAGAAGAAAATAAATTATGTAACATCACAGTCACTAGTGAAATGGTTGTGAAGCAGATAGACCAACTGAAGCAAAATAAGTCACCGGGTCCTGATGACGTTTTTTCAAGGGTTCTTAAGGAATGCAAAATGGAACTCTGTGAACCATTAACTAATATTTTTAATTTATCTCTTCAAACAGGTGTAGTGTCTGATATGTGGAAGATGGCTAATGTAATTCCTATTTTTAAAACAGGGGACAAGTCGTTACCGTCAAGTTACCGCCCAACAAGCCTGACTTCAATTGTAGGCAAATTACTAGAGTCAATTATAGCTGATATTATAAGAAGCCTTCTCGATCAGCATAGCTTGATTAATGATACTAAGCATGGATTCACAAGAGGCCGATCTTGTCTAACTAATTTATTAACTTTCTTCAGTAAAGCTTTTGAGGCTGTTGACCACGATAAAGAATTTGATATCATTTACATAGACTTTAGTAAGGCATTTGATAGAGTTCTGCAACAAAGACTGTTAAAGAAAGTAGCAGCTCATGGCATTGGGGGAAGGGTGGTCTCGTGGATCGAATCATGGCTCACAGACAGGAATCAGAGAGTGTCCATAAATGGGGTTAAATCCGAGTGGGGTTCAGTAACAAGTGGCGTTCCACAGGGATCAGTCTTGGGCCCGTTGTTGTTTATAATATATATCAATGATCTTGATGAGGGAATTACTAGTGATATGAGCAAATTCGCCGATGACACAAAGATAGGTAGGATAATTGATTCAAACGTAGATGTTATGGAACTTCAGGAGGATTTAAACAAACTTTATTCTTGGTCTGAAAAGTGGCAGATGCAGTTCAATGTAGATAAATGCAAGGTTCTGAAGCTCGGGAGTGCCCATAACCCTAGTACTAATAAGTTAAATGATGTAGAACTTAGCCATACAGATTGCGAAAAGGACTTATGGGGTTATGTTGAGCAGCAACCTTAAACCAAGACAGCAATGCCTAAGCGTACGTAATAAGGCAAATAGATTACTGGGATTTATATCAAGAAGTGTAAGCAACAGAAGTCCAGAGGTCATACTGCAGCTTTATACATCATTAGTAAGGCCTCACCTAGATTATGCAGCTCAGTTCTGGTCTCCTTATTACAAAATGGACATAAATTCGTTAGAAAACATTCAGCGTAGGATGACTAAATTAATACATAGCATTAGAAATCTTCCTTATGCAGAAAGACTGAAGACTCTTAAGTTACATTCACTTGTTAGACGAAGAATGAGGGGAGACCTGATCGAAGTGTATAAGTGGAAGATAGGTATTAATAAAGGGGATATTAATAAGGTCTTGAGGATGTCTCTCCAAGAGAGAACCCGCAGTAATGGATTTAAATTAGATAAGTTTAGATTTAGAAAGGACATAGGAAAGTATTGGTTTGGAAATAGGGTAGTTTATGAGTGGAACAGTCTACCTGGTTGGGTTATTGAGGCTGGGACTTTGGGTAGTTTCAAATCTAGGTAGGATAAGTACATGAGTGGGAGGGGTTGGATTTGAGTGGGACTTTCACATCAGAGCTTATTTCTTGGGTGGCATTGAAAATTGGGTTGGGCAAATGTTTTGTTAGTGGGATGAATTGTAAAGGACCTGCCTAGTATGGGCCAGCAGGCCTCCTCCAGTGTTCCTCCTTTCTTATGTTCTTATAGACTACGAAATTTGTAAACATTCTATTGCCTGACGAGACGAAATTTTCACAGAGATATCTTTTATTTTTAGCAGAAATTTATGCAAACCAACTTCTGCACAGCCGTATGACCTCTACACCGACGCACATATTTACACTCCAGTATACCGTTAGCTCCGGAAAGATATTAATTATAGAACCAAAAGAAATAAACTCATAGCGACCATGTAAGATGAAATCTCGTCACTTTTGCAGACCTGGCCGGAGGAACCATCCTGGTAAACAAAGTATTCACGGCTCTCTCCTATCACATGCACAAACACACAAACTACAAGAGAGGAGACTACACAGGCATGAAGAATTTCCTTCACGAGGTTTAGTGCGACAGAGAACTGGCAGGGAGATCAGTAAATGAGATGATGGAATTTGTGACAACAATATTCAGGGAAGCAAAGAAGTAGTTTGCACCCAAAGGGCATCAGAAAAAATGAGAAGGCCAGGACGAGCCCTTGGTTCACCCAGAGGTGTAGAGAGGCCAAAACCAAGTGTGCTAGAGAATGGAAGAAGTATAGAAGACAGAGGACCCAGGGTCATTTGTCTTTTATACTTTTTCCATTCTCTAGCTCAGTTTAGGTCTCTCTGCCCCTCTGGGTGAACCTTCCCATTATTTTTGTTGCCCTTCAGAACGAACCTCTTCTCTGTCTTTGTGCATTTTGTTGTCATGTATTTCATCATTTCATTTAATAATTTCCCCACCAATTCTCTTTCCTTCCCACTGAACCCCATGCAGGAAATTTCTCATGCTTGTGTAGTCCCCTCTTTAGTAGTTTGGCTTCTCCCATCCGACTTTTATTTCTTCTCTCTCCACTTGTAACTCTGTGTAATTCGAAGCTGAGGACATGATCACTAGCTCCAAGGGGTTTTTTATATTTGATGTCTCAGTGCTGAGCTACTCAAGGTGAATATAACGTCCAGTCTTGCAGATTCGTCATCACCTTTCTCTCTGGTAGTGTCCCTAACATGTTGATGCATGAGGGTTTCCAATACTACCTCCATCACCTTAGATCTCCAAAGTTCTGGTACTCCATGAGGTTCCAGCTTTTCCCATTCAATTTCCTTTTGATTGAAGTCACCCACAGCTAGAAACTTTGCCCTGCCCACGTTGGCCGATCTTGGCCCCTGAGCTAGTGTATCAACCAACCGTTGCTCTGTTGCTCTCATATTCTTGTCCTGGCCACTTGCTATTCTGTGTTGGATTATACATCACTGCAATCACCGCCTTGGGACCCGTAATCTGAAGTGTTTCTATTATGTAGTCCCTCCCTCTCAGTCCACTCCGTTCAACTTCATAAACCTACACTGGCTTTTGATGAGCAGTGCAACTCCTCCACCCACTCTATTCCTTCTCAGGATCTGATATCCAGTTGGGAAGATGTCATCTGTTTTCATTCCTGTGAGCTTGGTTTCCGCAAGTACTATGTGTGGTAATGCTTATGTGATTCTTACGTGCAAATCCTCACACTCATTCGTTATTCCATCTGCACTGGTGTACCATACCTTCAGCTTCTTTTCCAACATTGTATCCTCGGGGAGTTCATAGAAGCTGGGGAAGTGGGAGATCTGCCAGGGTGTTACGTTAAGATGGGATGGGGTGTGTGAATGTTGCGCTTGATTCGTTTTGGGATAGTATGCTTGGTTTTGAGGTTCTATGAGTGGTTCTATGGGATTGCATGTGCTGTTCTTCCCAACTCTGGTTGTCATCTCTCTTGCCCCTTTCCTCTTTGTATCCTTTCAATCTCTTTCATTCCGTTCTCATTTTCTTGCGATCTAGGTACACCCTCTTGTATTTTGCTGTTTCTGTTAACCATGATTTTTGCTGCAGGATTCTGTTCCACACCATTGCTGTCTTGAAAATCAATTTGACTGGCCAATTTCTTCCTCTCGAGTATCCCCCTATTCTCTGAAAATTTATCAGATCAGTCACATCCTCCTCTCCTATTTGTTTGATGATATTTTCAATCTCATTTTTTCTCTTCCAGTCGTCTTTCTTCGTATGTTCTCTTTCGATTTCCTGAAGCCCATGAATAAAAACTTACCTCTATCTCCCTCCCATTGTTTTTTCCCTCCACATCTTTGGTCCCATCTATGCATAGCCATTGCCTATTCCATTTTCATTTCCTGGGGCCCCTGGTGGCCTGATCATGTCTCTGCAGGGGGCCTATTACCTTCTCTACCTACCCCCCCCATCACCGCTGCCCCTGTGCCCAGCAGCATGCCACTTTTGTTTCTCAACATTTCCTGGTGACTTGAGAGGGCCTCAACATAGAACATAACTCCTTCCCTTCGGTCCCCTCACTGGATATTGATTTTCCTGTCCGTGATGAAGTGTCCCTTCTGTTCTTTGGCTCTATATTTTGCTTCACAAATAAATTTTCTAGAGAGGTCTCATTAGCAGCGCATTTTCAGTTCATCTAGGTTTTGTATTCTGGCTTTTGCAACTTTGACTCACAGTTCACACTTCTTGGTCTCTGCATCCATCCTCTACATCGTTTTAGTGACAGGCTCTCCTAGCTTTATTTCCCAATCTTGCTCCAATCTTCTCCTTAGCTCCTCCATCCATTCTCCCTTTCCTGGCACATCTTCCTCTGTTTCCCAGCATCTTCTGCCTCCCCTCTGGGGTCCCATTTTTTACCCTAAGAGAAGTTCCTAATGTTTATGTGTGTGTGTGGTGTGTGTGTGTGTGTGTGTGTGTGTACTCACCTAGTTGTGATTGAAGGGGTCGATTCACAGCTCCTAGTCCCGTCTTTTCACTGGTAGCTATTAGGTCACTCTTCCTGCTCCATGAGCGTTATCATACCTATTCTTAAAGCTATGTATGGATCCTGCCTCCACTTCATCACTTCACAAACTTTTCCATGTGGATGGATGTGGCGGGGGGGGGATGGAGGAGTTGCACTATATGTACGAGAAAATATTAATTGTTGCATAAAAACAGGTATAAAAATAGATGGACTAGTAACGGAATCTGGGTAGAGTTTGTGGAAGGTCAAGAAAAACTGGTTCTAGGTGTAATATACTGACTTCCAGGCTTTATCACGATAGAGGGAGACTTCTTTGGGACGAAATTGTTGGGGCTTCTACACACACTAACGTAGTGATAGTAGAGGATTTTGGCTTTAGTCAAATTGACTGGACTTCTTTGACCGGTAATCTGGAGTCCAGTGACTTTATGGAAAGAGTTCAGGACTGTTTTCTGAAGCAGTGTGTGGCAGAGCCTACCAGGGTTGATAATTTGCTAGACCTAGTCTTGTCAAATAGGGAAACACTCGTAAATCATCTGGAGATCACTGAGGAGCTTGGCACAGGTGATCACAGATCCATCACCCTACTGGGAAGATTGTTCCACAACTCTGTTAGAAAACCAGTACTTACCTATGTCCTTTCTAAATCTAAATTTATCCAACTTAAATCCATTATTTCTGGTTCTTACCTGGTTTGACACCCTCATTACTTTATTAATATCTCCTTTGTTCATGCCCGTCATCCACTTATACACTTCAATAATATCTCCCCTCAGACTTGTTCGTGTGCTCTTGTGAAGACTTGTTCGTGTGCTCTCTGTGAATCTGAACCAGGATGCCCTCTCTTGAGCAACTCTACCAGCAGCTAAAAGAGGAGCATAGGGTTGCTAAGCTGGAGATACGGCGATTAACAGAGAATATGAGGATTCATAATAATCCTGTTGTGAGTCCTCAGGATAAGAGAGGAACCTGATCAGTGGCTGCACAACATGGAATCAAGCTGAGGATCAAGAAGATTGTTGGAGAGGCAGAAACAAAGAATAACCAGAAGACTACTGTGGAAACTTCCAACCCATTTTCAGTGCTACCTGACGAATGTGGGTTGTCTATTGGGAACGTCACAGCGAGCACCAACGAATCATTGGCAGACGTGAGTGAACATCCCCAGAAATCCCCATGAAGACTATCGAGAACGTCACGACGAATTCCACAAGTAAAGGTAATAACATTGTTTTAGTTGGAGACAGGTTAAGTTTCTGGATAAGGCTTTTTGTCTTAGGGACAGAAAGAGGATGCAGAGGGTGGTGGGTTGGCGATGTATGTCAGAGAAAATTTAAATTGTTGTCTTAGACATGATATAAGATTAGAGACATCGAACAGAGAATCTGTTTGGCTACAGTTTCTCGAGGGACACGACAAATTAATTTGGGTGTGATTTATAGGCCCCCAAACCTTGATAGGGAGGGCAGTAAGCTGTTATGGGACGAAATTCATAAGGCATCTAGATATGAAAATGTTGTTATAATGGGAGATTTTAACTTTAGACAAATTGATTGGAACAATATGACAGGAAATCTTGAGTGTAGTGACTTTCTTGATATGATTCAGGATTGCTTTTTAGAACAGGTTGTGACAGAACCAACTAGAGGAAACAATCTGCTTGACTTGGTTCTTGCCAACAAAGATTCACTAATTAATAATCTTGAGGTTAATGATGAGCTTGGGGAAAGTGATCACAAATCACTTAGTTTTAATATATCATGGAATTACCCAGATAACTGCAATCAAATCTCTGTCCCAGATTTTCGCTTGGCCGACATCATGGGACTGAAAAATTACCTTGGTGAGCTAAATTGGGATGTCCTGACTATGGGTCAGGTAGGTGATCTTGGTTGCCAATATGACGTTTTTCAGAGCATAGTTCTAACTGCCCAGACAACTTTAGTTCCGAGTAGGGAAATTAGATTTAACAAAAATGGTCAAAAGAGAGGCATATATAGGCGTATCAAAAGAGGGGATGGGCAGTTAAGAAATCAATATATTCAATTAAAGAGAGAAATAAAGAAAGGAATAAGAAAAGCAAAAAGGGATTGAGTCTAAGGTCGCAAGGGATTCAAAGAGTAACCCTAAAGGATTCTTTCAGGTATACAGAAGTAAGATTAGGGACAAGATTGGCCCACTTAAGAGTAACTCTGGTCAGATCACTGACAGTAATAATGATATGTGTGAAATTCTAAATACCTACTTCCTCTCAGTTTTCACCCAGGAAAATACTAGCTATATTCCTGAAATAATAGATTATGTAGAACAGGATGATAATAAACTATGTACGATTGTGGTAACTAGTGACATGGTCCTCAGACAAATAGAGAAACTAAAACCTAACAAATCCCCAGGCCCTGATGAACTGTTTGCAAGGGTGTTAAAGGAATGTAAAGAGGAACTTAGCATACCTTTGGTTAATCTTTTTAACATATCACTACAAACTGGCATAGTGCCTGATAAGTGGAAAATGGCAAATGTAATACCTATTTACAAGGCAGGTGACAGGTCCTTGGGTTCGAACTATAGACCAATAAGCCTTACCTCCATAGTGGGAAAATTTATGGAATCAATAATTGCCGAAGCAATTCGTAGCCATCTTGACAGGCACAGATTGATTAATGAATCTCAACACGGTTTTACAAAGTGGCGTTCCTGTCTTACGAATTTACTAACTTTTTTCACTAAGGTGTTTGAGGAGGTAGATCATGGTAATGAATAGGATATTGTGTATATGGACTTCAGTAAGGCTTTCGATAGAGTTCCACACCAGAGGCTATTGAGGAAACACGGAATAGGAAGAGAAATTTTTTCCTGGGTAGAGGCATGGCTGACAAATAGACAGCAGAGAGTTTGCATAAATGGGGAGAAATCAAAATGGGGGCACGTCACAAGCGGTGTTCCTCAGGGGTTAGTGTTGGGCCCGTTGTTGTTTACAATTTACATAAACGACATAGATGAGGGAATAAATAGTGACATAAGCAAATTTGCTGATGACACCAAAATAGGCCGTCCAATTCATTCTAATGATTTGAATAGATGATTTGAATAGACTGATGCAATGGTCGGAGAAGTGGCAGATGCAGTTTAATATTGACAAATGCAAAGTTCTAAATGTTGGACAGGTAAATAACCATGCCACATATAAACTAAATAATGAAGATCTTAATACTACTGATTGCGAAAAGGATTTAGGAGTTCTGGTTAGCAGTAATTTAAAACCAAGACAACAGTGCATTAGTGTTCGCAATAAAGATAACAGAATTCTTGGCTTCATATCTAGAAGTATAAATAACAGAAGTCCTCAGGTTGTTCTTCAACTCTGTATATCCTTGGTTACGCCTCATTTAGACTATGCTGCTCAGTTCTGGTCACCGTATTACAGAATGGATATAAATGCTCTGAAAAACGTACAGAGGAGGATGACAAAGAAGATCCCATTTATCAGAAATCTTCCCTATGAGGATAGACTGAGGGCCCTGAATCTGCACTCTCTCGAAAGGCGTAGAATTAGGGGGGATATGATCGAGGTGTATAAATGGAAAACAGGAATAAATAAAGGGGATGTAAATAGCGTGCTGAAAATTTCCAGCCAAGACAGGACTCGCAGCAATGGATTCAAGTTGGAAAATTTCAGATTTAGAAAGGATATAGGAAAGCACTGGTTTGGTAATAGAGTTGTGGATGAGTGGAACAAACTCCCGAGTACAGTTATTGAGGCTAAAACGTTGTGTAGTTTTAAAAAATAGGTTAGATAAATACATGAGTGGGTGTGGGTGGGTGTGAGTTGGACCTGATTAGCTTGTGCTGCTGGGTCTGGTGCAGTGCTCCATCCTTGAGTGGAGATGATCAGACTGGGTGGGTCATTGGGCTAATCCGGGGGAGTCATTGGTCTAATCCGAGGGGGACACGGACCTGCTCCGCATGGGTCAGTAGGCCTGTTGCAGCATTCCTTCTTTCTTATGTTCTTATGAAAACAGTGAAGTCCCAGTGTAGTAATATTATGAGTTCTAGGGGAACTAGTATTAAGCAGAACGAGGTGGATATTGGAAAGCCAGTGGCACTAGGTGACAAGGACGGTAATAGGTTTAGTAGAAAAAGCAGATATGAGCAGAAAGGGTAAAGGGAAAGGAGGGTCTTTCAGTGTATATTATGTTAATAGCAGTAGTGCTAGGAATAAGATGGACAAGTTGAGATTAGTTTCTAGTACAGGTAACAGTGATACATTTGCCACAACTGAGACTTGGTTTAATTCAAAAAGTCGGGACATGCCTGCGGAATGTCGCATTCAGGGGTTTAAATTTTTCCAAGTAAATAGAAGTATCGGGAAGGGGGGTGGGGTGGCAATGTATGTCCGAGATCGCTTGAACTCTTGCATAAAAACGGGTATTAAGTCTAAAGTAACACATACAGAGTCAGGATAGAATTTTTCAGAGGGGCATGAAAAATTGATTTTACGAGTGATATACCGTCCCCCATACTTAGGGATCAAGGAAGACTACTGTGGGAGGAAATTGTTAAGGCCGCAAGGCACGATAATGTAGTAATTCTAGGAGACTTTAACTTTAGTCATATTGACTGGAATTTCTTGACTGGGAATTCAGAATCTAACAACTTCTTAGAAGTAGTTCAGGATTGTTTTTTGAGGCAATTTGTGACAGAGCCTAAAAGGGGAAATAACCTGCTTGACTTAGT